TGATTTGTACAACTTATTTTTTTAATTATTATCCTTTGTGCCATTTTAAAAGATATTTTTGTTTGTTTTTCTACTCACTGAAGGGCCATTAATGTACATTTTTCTTTGCATATCAACTAACTTAAAACTGCCCTTTGGCACGACACAAAAAGCTGTTGTGCTGCTGCTTTTAACCACCGCATTCAGGTAAACAGCTTCTTTAAAGTGTTGGCTAAGAATGATTCATATGAGTAGTAATAATATTAATAATAACAATAATAATAATTCATGCAGTTTTGTTACAGCATGTCACACTGTGTATGGACACTGAGAGTGATGCCTAATTCTTTGTGGGGCCAAAAAGTTTTTGTGTCCATTTATGTGTTGAATAAATATGTTTTTAGTATTGCTGTGTGTGTTTGTATATTTTCACGTATCCGTTTTATTTCGTTTATATTTGGGGGATCAGTCGTTTGTCAAAAAATAAAATCCCTTATACTTCGATGTAACATCGTTTTTTTTAGCATTTAGGCGAAAAAATCCAATATATCAAGCTTATGTTGCTTAAATTTAAATACACGAATTACACATCTTGAAAAAAAGCTGCTCCAAAAAGTCTCAAATATTTTTGTGGGGCCAAAAAGTTTTTGTGTCCATTTATGTGTTGAATAAATATGTTTTTAGTATTGCTGTGTGTGTTTGTATATTTTCACGTATCCGTTTTATTTAGTTTATATTTGGGGGATCAGTCGTTTGTCAAAAATAAAATCTCTTATGTTTCGATGTAACATCGTTTTTTTGAGCATTTAGGCAAAAAATCCAATATATCAAGCTTATGTTGCTTAAATTTATATACACGAATTGCACATCTTGAAAAAAAAGCTGCTCCAAAAAGTCTCAAATATTTAGGTGTCTTTTAGCATTTTCAAATCTCAAATAAATGTATTCAAATGGAAGTAAATTAATTGTCATCTTAATGATATCTCATCTCATTACAACAGAAAAGTCTTTTATGCATGTCGTGTCAGTATTTTTTAAGTCTCAAAAAGTCCGTTTAAATATTTCTGAAAATATAAAAAAATTAATTTTACCAAATAGCCCAAAAAGTCTCCAATACCAATATTATTCAATAGTTACCTAAAATATCAATTTGTTTTCAAAGTGATAAAATCCAATATATCAAGCTTATGTTGCTTAAATTTATATACACGAATTGCACATCTTGAAAAAAAAGCTGCTCCAAAAAGTCTCAAATATGTAGGTGTCTTTTAGCATTTTCAAATCTCAAATAAATGCATTAAAATGGAAGTAAATTAATCGTCATCTTAATTATATCTCATCTCATTACAAAAGAAAAGTCTTTTATGCGTGTCGTGTCAGTATGTTTTTAAGTCTCAAAAAGTCCGTTTAAATATTTATGAAAATATAAATAAATTAATTTGACCAGATAGCCCAAAAAGTCTCCAATATCAATGTTATTCAGTAGTTACCCAAAATGTCAATTTGTTTTCAAAGTGATTATTGTTTAACATCAAAAGCCCCAAAAATGTAGTACGTACTATGTCTTCCAGCAGGTGTCTTCAAAGAGCCGTAGAAGCTCCAAAAATATGTATTTGAATAAAGCCTAAATGTCAGGATTAATACCTGTGAGTTATAGTTACCACCCCCTTCTTTTTTTTACTTATATCAATTAAATCCACTGCAGAAATTACCATAATGTATGCCGTCTATGCTTTAAATCCCAAATGTAAATAAAACATTAAATATCTCCGCAAAAAAAAAAAAAGTTACAATGACATCGCACCAGTCAAGCAGCAGCGGCAGCAGCAGGTTGGAAATGAGGTGAGCTCAATACCTGGCAACGCGTCAACCACCGGAGAGTCGCGCATCCTGCGGTCGACCATCGACGCTCACGAACCGGCGAGGACGCGACGCGGGACGGACGCTTGGAGCGAAGGAAGAAAGATAAAAAAAGCACCAAAAAAACAAAAGTAGGTCCGGGTGGGGAGAGAGCGGGGCGCTGCAGGAGGGGGCATGCCGGTCAGACGCTCCGAACGAATCCGGTGTGATGCACTCGAAGCTCGGCTGTGAGTGATTCGAAGTGAGCATGAAGGACACCGCCGAGTCGAAGGAGCACCAACTCACTGTGAGTGCTCAATTGAACCACTCAACTAGTGTACAGTACACCGTTTTTACTTTAAAAGAGCATCTTGTAATTTTATTTGAGTGCATACATGAATAGTCAAATATTCATATTTAATCTCTTTCTGAGATTAAATATGCAAGAGGCACTTCAACAGGGACAACAAAATCTAATCGAGTGGAGGTCAAGCATTTCTCACTGAACATAATTATCAATTCTAAAATTGGTTTGTTCAAATATAGGTTTAAATGTTGTTAAATCAACAACTGAATCGGTAATTATTTAATTGATTTATAGTACATAATAAATATGAGTGGAATACCAAATTTGTATTGATTGATATGATTGACTGTATATTCATGATGGAATTTTTAAAAAACGTTTCTTTTGTTTTTTTTTGTTTTTTTATCATGGGTTGTTGTACATATTTTACAATTATTTCTTTAATTTTATCTGTTGTTGTCATGAAATAGTCATGGGTAAATGTTTACTGGTAAATCATTGAATAAAATGCTACGAATAAAATTAACTTCTCTATACTTAAAATTCATTCTTTTTAGTCAGTTATATCATTGCATCATAAGTAAATAAATAATTTGTTTTAAAAAAATTACATTCAAATTAAGTCGAATGTATTAATGTGATAAGCGCTTCAGAGAATGAACGGGTTAATTTACGAATTATTTAATTCACTATCAATGACACAATTTACAAATGCGAATGAATGAATTGATTAATTTTAAGAGCAATATAATTCGTTAAAACTCTTTTAAATACTTTCCCACGTAAGAATCAAAAACAACTATTAAAAAAACATGCAGGATTTTAAGTGCCAAATTTTCCAGTTGTTTTGCACTTAAAAATAAACCAAAGACAAATACAACCAACACAAATAAATTGAAGCGTGATTAATGGTTTGCGCAGCGGGCCGTGGCACTACTGTGAATTATTGAAGCGCTTGTGTCAGTCGTAACCGAGCCTCTCTTGTCCCAACACACTTTCTACTGACCGCATGTAGAATGACGCCACATGAATATAAATACACCGTTAATAAATAAATACCTTTCTAATTTAAGATAACTTTCGTGTAGCTCTGACGAGATCAAACTTTGAGCCGTCTCATGAGCACAAACATACAATTGTTGCCCATAACTTGGAAAAGAGCATAGACAAATAACCTTGGGTGATGAGCTACATCTACTCATGGCCTTTCACATGATTTCTTATTTGTCTGTGCGCCTGTCCTGGTGCAGGTGGCCTTGAGGATCCGGCCCCTCAGCGATGGCGAGCAGGAGGAGGCGGCGACCATTGTGGCGCACAGGCTAGATGAGCAGGTGAGAGCGGCCGACCTTTGATCGTATGCGCGCGCATGTGTGTGTGTGCGGAGGTGAGGAAGGTTTGTGCATGATGAGTGATGCGTAGAGGTCGCCTTACGTCAGGGTATGACGATAAGATGGCAGCCACGACCTCAAGTGTCACATTTGGCGAGGGTTGAGGAGCAAACCTTCGAACTTAAGGTTGGGAGCCTGAGCCATGCCGCTCCTACTGTGAGCTAGGAAATACTGTACTCATATGTCCAAAAGGAGACACATGTATTGAAAGATAAAAAAATACCAGTCGACGAGGACCAAATCTTGTCTTTTTAGAGTAAAATGCACTCTACGAAATTTACTGTGTACTTATATAAAAAGTTCCTCATCTCAAACAAGCCATTATAAGAATAGTTAACAACCATGGTGGGTACACCACAACAAAATATTTCAACGTCTCAATAACTTGTCACGTGCCCTTGAGCATCGACGACAGTTTGACATTTGTCACTGAGTTCTCTCTTTCCTGGAAACTCCTACCAGGTGTGAGCTACTGTATGTAAACCGCTACATTGTTGTCGCACGAGAACAAGGCGCAAGCTGGAGCTGCTGTGTTGTGAATTTGACGCCACTCCCCCCGGCGGGCCTCGTTTAAGGTGCGAGCGTAATGAGCGCGGATGGAGTGGCGGAGGCGTTAATGAGCGTCGTGACTGGCGCGAGTAGAGTAACGGCGTCAGGCATGGCGACAGTTGACATGGCGACATCATCATCGTTATCAGGGGCGTTGCCAAACTGCACCTGGGGGGCTTAGGACAAAAACAACCATGGAGTCCCCCCCCCCCCCCCCCCCACACACACCCTCAAAAACACTAAAATAAAAACAAGCTTGCTAGTAGAGGGGGCCATCAGAGAAATTCCTGAACTGGACATTTCATTACAGTGACATTTCCAACAGCGTCATCGATACGGACAAATAACAGCCATCTCTCAGGGGGCCCCCTTCAAGCTTTTGCCTGGGTCGCCTACCCTGTTGAGGAGTCTCTGATGTCATTATCATCATTATTATCATCATCATCATCATCTTGTGACCTGGAGAGCACTTCCAGAAGGGGATTTTCCTGTCTCCTGCCGGGATCAGGCCTGTTTGCTCGTTCACCTCCTGGATTGTAATTCAATTAGAGCGAGGCCCCCAGACAACATAAGAATGATGATGTCATCATCTTCATCAACAAAAACAACGACACGAGGGGATGAGAGCCCAGGTCGGTGCTGGCGCAGCTCCCACGCGCACGCTCGCCCGCACCCTCATTAAAACCCGCAATGTTTGCTTCTACCTGGAGAGGGTTCACGATACGGCGTTTACGGTAATACTTACGCTAGCTAGCACTGCAGCGGGGGATTATGGGAATCTTATTTGAGAAGGATTTACGGCGGCGGGCTTGGTATGAATGGAGAGGATAGAGGGGGGGGGTCACTACTACAACAACAACAACATGACAGACCTCTTGTCGGATTACGCTGCCTGCGTTCGTGGCTACTTTGATATTATTCCACTTTGATTTATCAAATAGTCCAAAGGTAATCCATCAAGCAATTATACAGTGGTGCCTTGAGATACAAGTGACCAACCAGACTGAGTTTTTCAAGATACGAGCCATCGTTACAGTGAACTCAACTCACGTCACAACCAACAGCACTTGGCAGATAGCCAGAAATTCGTCTGAAGCTTTTAAATGTTTCTTTCGAACTCTCAGTTTATGACGTTTACGACAGAGCTTTGCCTCATGACAGTCGTTTAGCTTGATGCAAACAAATGACGAAAAACCCCATCGACGAGCTAACAATTAGCATCAACGTAGAGGTGTTCTAACTTTTTTCAGCGTGGGATATTTGAACACAAATGGGGAGCAACACATGTAGACAGACAAAATAATAATTATTTAATTGTGTTTTTTTAACAGTGCAGAACAAGTTGCACAGTGTATTGAAGTGTAGCACAAGTATGTAAAACTGATTAATTCTTTATGTTGTTTTCAATTATGTCATGACCCTCTGCTTTTATACATTGCACGAATGCTTTTGTCCACAGCCTCACAAAACTTGACACCTCAGGTCGGTTAACAAAGTCCACGCGGCTCTTGAAGACCATATGGTGTGCAGGTAGCGCTCAGACGGATTAGGGTGGGGTGGGATTCTTCCAAGGGGGGCTGGGTTGTATGAGATCTTGCTGTATTGGCAGAGAGAACAATGCCGAGATGAGCTGATGGGACGTCTTGCGGCTCAGGTTAATTAAGCCTCCTTGCCACCTGCTCTCATAAAACCGCCACTCGGTGAGCAACCGACGCGCTCGCCGGGATGTAGTTGTCGCAAAGATTTATGAATGAGGGAATACAAAAAAACGTATGCGCTGCGTTGGGAACATACACAATTGAACATTTGTGATGACACTCAGCGATGACCTTGGATAGTGAGCCACGTGCTGCTTCACCAAAGACCTAATGATCTGATCACATTGCCACTCCATACGCATTTATAATGTCTTCAAAAGCTTGTCAAACTGGTCCTTAGGCTTTGACAGTGGCACAGAGCGGGGAGGGGTTACTGGCCTGGGCCTTGTCACCATGGAGACATCCAGACAAGGTCAGGGCCATTGTTTGTGGGTTATTTTTCTTCTTCTTTCGTCACTCTTTAGTCCCGCCTCCTTCACGTGGGAAAATGAAGGAGATGACTTTTTTTTTTGCCATTATTTCATTTGTATCTGTATGGTTAATGTATTTTATGGTGTAGTTATTATTGTATTTTATTTTGTTTGTATTTACTGTACTGTATTTCTTGTTATTATTTTTGAAGGTCCAATTTTTTGATGCCGCTCTTAAAAATTGATGATGGGTATTATTTGTTGTATTTCATTTGATGTTCATTTCATATTTTTATTTTTTATTTTTTTAATGTATTCATTTATTTGAATTATTTCGTCTCAAGGACACATTTTTGACTCAGCTCTAGCAAATGAATGGATAGATGTTCATTGTTATGTGTTTTTTAAATGTTATTATTTGCATTGTTTTTTGGTTTTTATTATCTTATTTATTTTGTTTATGTTTTTGTAGACAAATTTCATCTTGTTATTTATTTCATGGACAATTTTATAGATGAATATTGTTTATTATATTTTCATTTCATTTATTCTATCATAGATATTAGCCATTATTTCTTTTGCCTATTACTGCTTAGTTTGCCATTTGATTTTTATTTATTTTTTTAGATCTTATATTGTCATTACTTTGGATACTGCCCTGCATGCATTAGCGGTTATGGCTGCTATTCTGGAATCATCTTTTCACAGTGAGAACCCCATCACGGTGGATAATGGATGCTTTCATTATGACAACCAGAGAGCATCTCAGGGCTGTGTGATTTACTAATGGGGTTGTTCAAAAACCTCTTCAGGTGGCTCAACTTGATTCTTCGTGACCTCGTTAAAAGCCTTCTCGTTACCTTCTTATTGGCCTTTGAAGTGGAGGGGAAAAAAAGAAGCCAACGCTGTTCTGGCTGATTTTTTTTTTTTTTTTTTTTTTTTTTTTTTTTTACGAGTGTTTGACAAGGCAGTGCAGGAGCGTGATGAGAGAGGCCGTAGAAAGGCAATAGATGCTCGTTTTCCTCCCAAGTGGACGCAAATAGCCGGTCTGAGCTACGAAAGTGGATAATCTCCGCTGTGCTCCTTATCTCACCCAAAGAGGGTTATTCTGCGCTGTTTGTCTCTCCTTTAGGCAAGATTACGCAAAAACGACTGGGACACTTGGACTCAGGTTATGATTTCCTGCACTCGGCAGCAAATTAGACCGAGATGAATCATTTCGAACCTTCCTCGACCATGAACGTGACTGATCACCTTTACAACTCCATTGAAACATAACATTTTCTTCAATCGGGGAGATCAAAAGAAACAACTGAGATGCGGCGGTTGCGTAAGTGTGCATAACCTCTTATGACATGGATGTTCAAAATCACATTCAAACTCATTAAGTGGGAGTCAGCACACCCCAACCGCAATTTGAAGTGTCTCAGATGAATGCCCCCAAAAGTTCAGATGTTCTAATTGGCTTTTCATGACCTTTTTTTTTGTACTCCATGTGCTCCGACGCTCCTATTTTGTGGTCGGAGTGGAGCAGAGTGCGCTCAGAGCATATATAAGATCGCAACTTAAGATTCAATTCGACTGTGCTGTGTTATCAAAGTTTGACCTAAATATATGTTTGAAAACAAAAGATTAAATGCAAGTTTTATTTTTTTTTTTTTTAATTTGTCATCATAATATGATGTGCCCCCATGTTTTGTGCAAGTAGGACAGCAGTGTAAAGTTTGCTTGCATTTCATTCCACATATCTCTTCTATGCAATTTCTCCTCTTTCTTGCAAGGTATTGAATGAAAAACTCCAGTCACTCTGTGATGAATGCGTTTCTTTTTTTTTAAATGCCTCAACCAGCAAGAGCGGGTTGGAGGACGGGAGGGGGCGGGGGCCGAGTGGGACCCTGAAGTGGGCTCAGGAGTGTAGTGCCACTTTGGTGAACCACAGGTTCGGCCCTCCTCGTCACGAATGAGGAGCACACGCAGTTCACACAATGAGTTCTCGTTCTCTTATTAAAATAGTCGTAAGCCATGGATAGACTGCAATGAGGCAAAATTTTTAATATGGCATCGTCATCATGATCAATGTTTTTGTACTGGAATGAACGAACATGTGGGTTGAAAATCACAAGTTCAGGATTCCATTTCTTTCTTCGATGTGTTGAACAACTCGGTCACTAAGTCATTGGTGCTTTATGGCGTGTGTGGTGTGGCCGTGAGGAAAGTGCCAAAGGCGTCTTATATAACAGCGGCGAGACGACACTGAGGCTGAAAGGAGATCCAGGGTGACATTGTCGGGGCACAGAGAGGGCAGTTGGCAGCCTTTCTGTCAGATAGCCGATAACTTTGGTTGCATTTCGGGACAAAGGTGGATGATGGCAAATGTCACGCTTTCTTTATTCGCTGTCTTTTGTCGTCAGAAAAGAGCAGATAACCTTTCAAAAAACAGATCAAAGAAAACAAATGTCAAGTGCACTGCACATGCAAATTTTTCCTGGTGTAACTGTGATGTGGCTTTTGTTGGAGTTTGAGTCGGTGCTGCAAATCACAAATTGCAGTCTGGCAACCTCGCTAGCTCCATTGTTGCAGTCCGGACGGCTTTGACAGCTCAAATTTTTCTTGACATTGAGTACCCCTAATTTAACGTCCGAAGTGAACCGAACATTGCATGTTTTTCGAATGTACCCGCACGATGAGAACAGGCAACCTCCACTCAGGGTGGTCAGAGCTGAGAAGTGGAAAAGCTAACCACGAGTTCACTGTGCTGCTAGCCATCAATCAATGTCTTCCAATTCCATGCATTGTTCCCATTTTCACATTTCGCAGAAAACATGCCGTCTCCATGGTGTCCCTGTAATAAGACGACAGATGGACGTGCCCTCGCAGATAGAGACGCGCGCGCACACGCTCACATCGATACATACAAAAGCACTCGTCTTAATCTTGCCGGCACACGTTGGAAACGCGGCCAACCCCCGTGACCTCGGAGGCCGGGGATCATAAAGACGACACACCAACGTGAGCAATAAAGTCGTAAACGATGACGTCCATCGGTTTCGGCCTTTTGTGTGTTTGCGTGATTGTGTGCGTGAAAGAACATTTTCCGTACAGTCGTTGTTGACTGAATCAACTAGGAGTCATCATTTTCCCTGCAAAAAATTGGAAGCACTAATCCAGGCTTGAACCCCTTTTTTACCACCCAATGTCTGCTCAAAACCTTAATTTAAAACCCGAACCCTATCTTCAAACTCAATCCTGTCTTGAAATCCTTATTTTAGACCCTCCTGTTTGCTTGAAACCCTGACCATAGCTTGAAACACTACTTTGAAACCCTAACTTGAACCCTTAACTCCTACTTTCAGAACCTACTTTGACACCGTAACCCTGCTTTGAAAACCCTTTTTTTTTAATCCTCAAAACCCTGACAGTGAACCCTAACGCTGTCTCGAAACCATAATCCTCTCTTGAATCCTTACTTTAAAACCCACTCACCCTTGTTCTAACCCTAATGCTGGCTTGAAAGCCAAGTTTAATACACTCTGACCTTTGCTTGAAACCCTGATTTAGAAACATATGTAAAACCTAGTTGTTGAGAACCTAATCCACATTTAGCTGGCCCCGTCCTTGTTTGGCCCCAACTTCTGTCAAGCCTCATCTCACTATGGCCTTCTAAGAGCCAATCAGAAGATTAGACAAAAGAGGTGAGGCGCAGATCAGCGAACTGTTGTTGTTCAGCTGTGGTGCCAAAAAGAACTTGTTGAGGAATGTTTGAGACGCCACCAGCCCTCTCAATACCTTACCCCTTGTCGTGTGGAAACACATGTCAACCTTGACAGAAAGCAGCACCAACTGGCAGCTCTCTCGACTCTGTGAAGCAGCAAGAAAAGGTTAGGATTTCATTGTAAGGTGTCAAACCCAGGGTTAGGGTTTCAAGACAAGGTTAAGTTTTCGAGCAAAGGTGAGGGCTTAAAAGCAAAGTTTCAAAATGGAGTTAGAGTTTCAAAATAGGGTTTTAAGGCCAGAAGTGGGTTAAAATCCGGATTTCAAGACTGAGTTAGTTTGAAAGTAAGGTTTCAAGACAGCGTTAGTGTTTCAAACCATGAGTAGGGTTTCAAATTAGGGTTTCAAGACAAGGTTAGAATTTCAAAATAGGGTTTGATCGCCAAAATTGTGTTTTTTTTAGTGAGGATTTCAAACCTGTGTTAGGGTTTCAAGCCAGGGTCAGGGTTTCAAATTAGGGTTTTGAGCCTGAGATAGGGTTTCAAATGACAGTAAATAATTGTGTGATTATGACAAGCAGGTGTTTTGAATTTTCTTACAAGTGAGCCTTGTGAATCAGTCAACCTTGGGCTCTGCTCTCCTTGCGTTTGCACTGTACAATATCTTCTGAGAAACAAACTCAATTGAAAACAACATATTGAGTGCTGACGTAAGAGCTCTAATTTAGCAGCTGGTGTTTGGTGGGCGGAGCCACGGTAGTTTCTGTAACTCAATCAACAACAGATGGGAGCGGACGTGTTATCAGCACCCTCGACATCCCTTCACCTACGCAAGAGCCATGAGCTAAATTTGGAAGCTTTGCATGATCACGTCTCTTGTGTGTGCGTGTGCATGTGTGTGGGTAACCAAAACAACCATCTTACGTCCACAGATTGCTTAAATTAGTCTGACACCTGCGAGTGTCCCATAATGAGACTACCATTTCTATTCATATTATGCTAACTTTTACTGTCATCACAAGTGCCACTTTAATTTTTAGCTACTTTTTCTTATGAACATGAAATTTGATACATGTCGATCATGCGTAGAACATGCCCGAGGTCATTGTTGTGAAAAAAATGTCCGCCCCCAAAGCCAGTTTAATTTAGTTACATTACCTGTACATTGGGTACATGTCCATCATGAGTAGACCCACAAAAAAATTCCTAAGAAGCCATTCCTGAAAAGACACAGGAAGTCAACCATTTTGGTTTGAAGTGGCCATCTGTTCAATTTGATGTTGACAAATTCACCGCCTGAAGCCAGTTTAATTTCGCATCATTAAATTTGGTAGGCTAGTCTGTCATGAGTAAATCCACAAAAAAGTCTCAAAAAGCAGTGCCGAAAAAGGCAGGAGATGCTCGTCATTCTGGTTTGGCGTGGCATTTTTAGAGTCGTGTTTTGACCATTTCCAGGGGTTCTTTGACTGTTTTTAGCAAACATAAAAATTGGAAGGCTAGTCTGTCATCAGCAAACCCGCAAAAACGGATCAAGTTGTGTACACAGGGCACTGGGTTTTGTTCCTTTTGTTTTGAATTGGAAATTTTCGGGCCGTTATGACTTCTCCTTGAGATTTTGTCTGATTGCTGCCAAATTTCAACTACCGGAAGATATCAAAGGCATATTTTTATTCCTCTTGTTTCTCCTCACTAGATGGTGATCCTGATGGACCCCATGGAGGATCCCGATGATGTCCTGCGGGCCAACCGCTCCAGGGAAAAGACTTACGTATTTGATGTTGCCTTTGATTATTCGGCCAGTCAGGTCAGCCCTCCTCCACCCCACCCCTCCCAAAAAAAAAGTTGCAAATACATAGCAGAGTTCATTACTGTAGCCAAACGGCTGTTCTGTGTGCAGGAGGAGGTGTACCGTGCCACCACCAAGGGTCTGATCGAGGGCCTCATATCGGGCTACAATGCCACTGTGTTCGCCTATGGACCCACAGGTTAGTGTTATTATACTCCACTTGTCATTCTACTGTATTCTGCGCAAGACAGAGGAGACATTGCATCTCACAATATGGCACAAGGAGTAACACCATAAATACAAACATACAATTGTTTATAGTGGACCCAGACTTTGGAGTATAGTCTTAGATACAAATACGTTATCTGATCCTGTGATGGCTTGTGATATTGTCCAGGTTGCGGGAAAACATACACCATGCTGGGTACCGACAAGGAGCCCGGAATCTACGTCCGCACCCTCGACGACCTCTTCCGGGCCATCGAAGAAACCAGCGACGACATGATGTACAGCGTCTCCATGTCCTATCTGGAGGTGGGACCAATGTGACTTTTAATTTCCCTACAAGCTAAGAAGCTAATGGCTAAGAGAAATAACGACGACCCAATACTTTTCTTTACGTAGCGTGTCATCGAAGTAGAAGTGAAGTAGAGTGAAACCTACGGAGATATTTTCTGAGATCACGAGAATGAACAGCAATCAGCCTTTAACACATGGCTACATGTCATTTTTCCGTGAATAGATGATTATTCCCATTGAGAAGCGTCTTCTCCGCATCTGACATTGAAGTGTCTTTTCATTGTGCGGCTGTCATTCGGCGCTCGTTTTTGAAGCTGGCATGTGGGAAAGTGTGTAATTAAAAACCTCCACTCTGTGTTTGTCATGAATGAAGTATAAAGAAATATTTTTTTCCAAAATGAAAAATGATAATCTTATGAGAATAAATTTGTATTTTAGCGAGTTAAAAAAAATGAAAATAATAGTATATCTTTGTCTGTATAAGTAGTGTTATTTTCGAGCAACTAAATAAATCATAATCTGAAAAAAATATATGTTCTTCCAAGAATAAATTTAAGCACAAGATTAACTGTTATGAGATTCAAGTCCTAATATAATGAGAAAGAAGTAGCTACCTTGTTTATGTTTTTCTCTATTATTTTTATGACTGTCAATGTGATTTTAGATCTACAACGAGATGATCCGGGACCTGCTGAACCCATCTTCGGGCTTCTTGGACCTCAGAGAGGACGCCAAAGGAGAGATTCAGGTGGCGGGCATCACTGAAGTGTCCACCATTAACGCTCAAGAGGTCATCCCCCATCTTTTTCAATCCCCACGCTGCGCAATCAACGCAACTAATGACCTTGTGTGTGTATGTCACAGATCATGGAGCTGCTGATGAAGGGCAACAAGCAGCGCACGCAGGAGCCCACGGCCGCCAACCAAACATCGTCCCGCTCCCACGCCGTGCTGCTGGTGGCCGTCAAGCAGCAGAGTCGTTGCCGTGACGTCCTGCAGGAAGTCCGCTTTGCCCGCCTCTTCATGATCGATCTGGCCGGCTCTGAGCGCGCAGCACAGGTGTGTGTGCGTACGCGTTACATAGATGGCCACATTATAGTCGTTACTGTGTGAAAATGAAAAGTGGAAAACTAGCACTGAGGTATAAATTTAAATAATAATGTAGATATCAAACAAGACAAGTCCACTCTTCATTTGCTGTCGTTTTTTTTCACGCTGATTTCCACCCGCCTGTCAATCAGACCCAGAATCGAGGTCAGAGGTTAAAAGAGGGAGCCCACATCAACCGCTCCCTCCTGGCGTTGGGCAACTGCATTAATGCGCTGAGCGACAAGAACGGCAACAAGTACATCAACTATCGAGACAGCAAGCTGACCAGACTGCTCAAGGTATTGATCACTGTGGATCAATAGTGGAGGCCTCTTAGCCATTATGTTGATTGATGATATCTTTGACAGGATTCTTTGGGGGGGAACAGCCGAACCGTCATGATCGCCCACATCAGTCCTGCCTCAGTAGCCTTCGAGGAGTCCCGCAACACGCTGACCTACGCCGACCGTGCCAAAAGTATTCGTACGCGGGTGAGCTGGGATGTCAAAATATAATATTATTTAGAATATATACTATATATATTTTTTTTCTTGATCTTTAGCCAACAAATCACTGGACATTAATTAAGCAAGATCACCCTCTATTGGTTGTCGAAAGTAATGTAGTCTTTATTGCCTTCTCGTTCAAAAAAAATGCATGAACCAGTATTGTTTTTATACGGATCTACTGAATGTGCTTTGAGAATTTACAAAATTTACTTTGACCGTTACTAGAAGTAGTGTTTCTGTTTTGAGGTCACATGTTTTTGCATTTGTTTACTGCTAAAATTGCAAAACTAGAGACACTTTGGGGCGCGGGGGGAGGGGGGGGCAATTGCATTTCCGGATTCTGCGACATCAAAATACCCTAAAACCGAAACTTTCTCTGCATCCTAATGTGTGTTTACCAGTGTCATGATAACACTCACGATCAGGATACTAAAAACAAAAACACCCCCCTTCCCATAAAAAATGTTGTTGTTTTTGCCCCAGGTGAAGAAGAACCTGATCAACGTGTCCTACCACATCGCTCAGTACACGAACATCATCTCGGACCTTCGCTGCGAGATCGAACGACTCAAGAAGAAGATCGCCGACCAGGCAGGCTGCCAGCTCACCTCCGACAGGACCGATATCCGCCATGTCCAGGGTGAAGCCCCCCGACTTCCTTGTGCTAACAACTTGTGCTAACAACTAACAGCTATCCACAAGTCTTCCCTCACCACATCCATTCCTCCCACTCCTTTGTATACCTCCACCTCTCTAGGTTTTCTTCCACCTGCTCCCTAGCCTCACCACACACAGATCACAATGTCATCATCTGAAAAAAAGCACAGTTTTAATATTTCCGTTCATCATCCTCTCCCAGCCGAGGTCCAGGCGCATTCCTGCCAGCAGGGTCGGGCCGAAACGGACCAGCTGAGGGAGCAGCTCATGGACGCCTTCCGCCAACAGATGGATATCCGCAGGAATCTGATGGAGCTGGAGACCAGCAGCACGGAGATCCAGATGGACACCTCCAAGCAGCTGCTGACTATCGCAGAGTCCGTCTCAGGCTTTCCCGAAGTGAAAAACGCTGCACAGAACACGTCACCCATTCAGGATGTACATGTGATGTCTTATCTCCAGCTGGGAACATGAAAGGAGCAGGCGACGGCGGAAGTGGCACGCGGAAAAGCGAAAGGAAAGCGTCAGCAAGGACGACAGCGAGAAGGACTCGGACTCTCCGGAGTCTCCGCCGGACACCGCCGAGACGGAAGAGGTGGCCATGGCCAGAGAGAATCTGGTGGGCCTCATGTCGGAGCAGAAGAAACTCCACAAACAAAAGGTCTTCAAAAGATCTACTTTTTTGTGGCATCCAAATCAGTTAGAAACCTTTTTTCAAGTCATTAAAAAATGTTTTTAGTGAAGTCAAGTGCACGTACTGTAAGACAGAATAAATATTTTTTGTAATGGCTCTTACTCTTGAGGAAAACATGCATTTGGTCTTTATCTGCATTACGGCAGGATCAGTTTCAGGTTGAGTTGTAATTGTTGTACTAAGGTGTGCAAGAATGTTGTAATAGCAAATTGTTCAGTATATCATCTGCATAAAGAAATGATGGATTTTCCTTTTCTGTCTAAAGGCGTTGCTGGAGCGCCGATTCTTGGAGCTTCGCGACCAGTCCAGGCAACTGGGGGAGCTGCTACCCCGGCATGTGAGCTCAGATGACCAGCGCGAGGTCCTGTGCCTTCTGTGCAAGGTCCACGAGCTCGAGATCGAGAATGCCGAGATACAATCGCATGCTCTGCTCAAGGACAATGTGATCCGGCAGAAGAATTTTGTGGTCCGCCGCTTTGAGATGCACCGGCACCTTTGCGATGAACTCATCCAACAGCAGCGGCAGTTCATTGATGGTTAGTACAAAACCCTGCACTGCAACCACGACTGGTCATGGTCTACTGACTGACATGTGTTCTCTCTCCAGAGCACAGTTTGCTAGTGCCGCCGCACCTACAGGAGCTCTATGATATTTACACCAGAGAACGGGATGAGAGGAAACTGGACCGGGTTGTGGCTCTGGAGAGGGCAACCACCCACCACACCATTCAGGTATGCTGGAAGAGGAGGACATCAAAAACAGGCTGAATATGGGCTCTTGAGGAACAGACTTTAAATCTTGAGTGTATTTGTAGATACAGTATAGGACAGGACAGAAAAGAACAAGAGAGAATAAGACAGGACAGGATGACAGGACCAGTTAGCAATGCCAGGTTCTTACGGTTGAGTCACTGGCGCCCCACAATATGGCGGGGGAAATTGAAGTCTTCACTGAATGATTCCGCATCTTTCAAGGGGAACGCTACCTGAGGTGAACACTACCCGAGATCGGTCTGCGCGCTGATATAGGACAGGACAGGAGCAACATGTCAAGGCCAGGCCAGTTCTTAATGCACGACCCACTGTGAATGTGAACCTGAAGTCTGATGCTATAATCTAAATGATGAAGTAGACAGGATATTTCAGAACAGGTTAGGAAAGAACAGGACAGGGCAAAAGCAGTAACCCAAGCCATGTGCAGGTCCTAAGGCAAGTGCCACTGAACTTGAAGTCTTGTCCTACAAAATAAAATATAACCCATGTTTGCAGGTGACCTCCCTACCTAAGATTGGAATGCCTCCTCAGGCTCGCGACACCGTGCAAGATGTGGACTCGGACCAGGAGTGCGTACGGCCTGAAGAAAGACGAGGACATGCCAAACTTCGCCGCCACACGTTGCCCCCCATCCTGCCTGAACCTGAACAGTGAGGACATGTTTGCGGTGATGATGGTAACAAGCGACCGCAATTCCAACGTGTTTTGTTTTTCTTTCTGATGATTCAGGGACAGCGACAGAGTTTTCAAAAACATCTCTCATGCACGACACATGAAAATATCAGCTGTAATGACCCCTCCTCCCATCCACATCAACGGGAAGGGCAACAGAGAGGTGAGTAAGATTATTTGAAGAGGAGATGCACTTTTGATGATCCACTCATCCATTCTCAGAACCACTTAGCCTTACTCGGTAAACATAACGCCCTTGTGACGCTAAACTGATTCCAGTTTCCTGTAAATCATGTGAAACATAAAATTGCTTTTCAGTTACATGGAACCGAAAGTACAATAACAACCTTGGATAATCAGACACATGCTGCCTCATTATGTCTGTTCACATGTTGCAATTTCTTCGGGGAAATTCTGCTGAAAAGACGACATTGCCAGCCTGTGACAATTCGGTTGCTGTCGTTGTTTGATCGTAACAGCGCCATCTGTGTGTGCAGCTGCAGCCACTGGCTCCAGTCAGCTCGCTGAGCTACACTCACCTCAGCCACAGCGTTAGCAGTCAACTGGATTCATCACCCGAGAGCAGCGAGGCGGGTGTCGACGCCCCGCTTTCGGGAAATGGTAAGACACCTGTTGCCAGGCGAGCCTGCAAAAAACAATTCCCAACACACATTTCTTTGTGTTTCCGAAGAGAGGCAGCAGATCCTCAAAGGCATCCAGAACATTTCAATGAAGGCGGCACGCCGGCGCTACAAGGCCCGGGAGGAGGAGGCCTTGCGCTCGCTGCCCGCCCCCTCCTCCACGGAGCGCGCCAAGCAAAAAAGCAGCCTCTTTAGCAGCGAGGAACCCCCAAGGGTTCTGCCGGTGCGGCGCAGCAGGCAGCCTAGCCCTGAACTCCAGCACGCCACCTCCGACGAAAACCTGTCCAGCAGCACCTGCGAGGGACCCAGCCTCCTGGCCACCTGGACGCGGCACCACAAGCTTATCGGCAAGAACCAAACCCCCCGAGACGCCGACTTTGAGGCACGCCGCAAGAAGAGACGCTCACGCTCTTTTGAGGTCACTGGACAAGCAGTGAGTGGACTCACCATAAACAGACAATTCCTTTCAGTTACTCTGAATACAATTATTTACACTTGACAGTGATTTGGAACACACGTTACTAAACACATGCCATCTAACGGCTAAGAACGTAACATTTTTGTCAGTTATTCATAACTATCACTTCAACTAAACAATAGACAGTTACTTGGAACTCACATTCATCCATCATTTTTTATGATGATGATTATAATTCTTTATGAATCTGGGATAACCCCCTTGAAATGCAAAATGTCATTTGCAAAGGGGTCCCAAATGTTGACTCTTCACCCACTTCTTCCGTCCAGGTGCCTCAAGCCAAAACGAACACGGGTGCAAGGTTACGCCCCTTGGACAGCACGTCAGACGCTCACCTCCACATCAGTGGTCAGTCCCAGGTCCCGTTACTCCGCCCCCAATTCAGAGTAGTCCCGCCTCTTGCCAAAGTCAGAGTAGCAATTGGCAGCCAGCAAGCAGGTACGTCAACGACAACCTTTCCACCACTGTGTTACACCTTCTGGTTCTTAGTTTGAAAGGGGAGACAAAGCATACAGCAAAATGTATTTTTTAAAGAGTTTTGCCTCATTCGTCCTCTGCAGGCCCAAACTCGGAGACCCCCGCACTCCAGGCGAATAACCTGAAGCGCATCCCCTTTCTGCGGCAACCCCAGCCACCCCTCTACATCACTACCACCACCACCACAATGGGGGGCCAGCAGCGACCACGCCGACACTAAGCATTACTTTGACTTGAACACATGCCAGGAAGTCTGGATGATGACCGAGAGATTATGTCATCGTGCCTGCAGACGCCAAAGATCATTACATGTCCAATTTCTGTCTTGTCTTCATGTATAAAATATAGATGTATTTTGCTGTGTGCTTCTTAACTGTTAGAACTGCAGGCCTAACCACTCGACCACCGTGTTGCCTCAGTTATTGTGTTCCTATTTCATTTATTTATTAATTTCATTTTCCTTATTTAACAGTTGCCTTGCTTATATTTGGCATTGACTCGTGGTTTTAATAATTTCTACTTTCTGTGCTTTCTTTTTTTACATATTTTTTATGACTGCTTTGAAATAAATTGAGGATAAAAATCAATTAACATTCTATTTTATTGTCCACCCATCCATTTTCTAATCCGCTTATCTGCACGAGGATCACGGTCGTGCTAGATCTTATCCCAAATATTTACCATAATCATGTATATCAAACGTGTATTTGTTTGTTTATTTTTACTTTATTATTATTTCATTCAGTTATAAATTATCATGTGTGCAAAAAAAAGTATCCGTTTTGTTGCCAGGCAGATGATCTCAACTAATTCTACATGGTAATTTATGAATATGAACACCTATGTGATAAACATTAACAGATGAGATACATAAATAAGTATCGTATATTAATTTTATAAACAGTGAAAAAGTAGGCTGGTTTTCGCAGAGCCGGAAATACGGTCCCCGCCCTTGACCTCAGCTTCTTTTAGCCAATGGCAAGTCAATTTGTAAATGACTGACGACCCTCTCGGCCAATGAGCGCCAGGATTAAGCGTTCCCGGTAGTGGTGCGCGTATAGCTGATTTGCAACCCGCCGAATAGGTAGCAAAGAAGAACGGAAAATGTCGCCTGCCTCGAACAGGACCGTTCTAGGATCAGTGGCTGTTTAAGTGAGAAACCCGGTGAGTGGAACTACCGTCATTCACTGTCACTGTCACCCCTGCTATGGCGATAGCGCTCGTCCCGGTTTGCGTGTCAAATTTGGAAGCACCACACGCCGCTTCGGAGTGGTTCTGTCGGAACCGCAGTACTAAAGAAAACAACACGATGGTGGCAGCCATTTTGAAATGTCTCGAAATAATGAAAAGAAAGCCCACGTTGATCTAATATTAACTTCTTTATTTATTTATTACTCTTCACAGATCAGATTCTAGTGATGTCATACACGTTTAATCTACAGCCAGTGTTGGATCTTGACAATTCATAACAATGTATTCCTATATACACATTATATACCTTAGAGAAAGTGTGAAATATAATGCATTTTGGTAGCACAAATACAGTGGTTAGAGCTTGGAACATTTGTCCGACAATGTTGGCCTTTTCGAAAGGTCACAAGGCAAATCCGTTTCCGCTCGTAATCCAGTTTTACCCATGGTTAGGCACTTCATGTTTTCTTTCTTTTTTTTCTGGTGCGAATTGAGAGTTTGCACATTGAGAATTCTACCAATCTCACCCACCAGCATGGCAGACAAACAAATCTTGATCACATGATCAAAAACTGTCTACATGTTACGAGCTACTAGAATAATGATTGAAAAAATATGTGCTTTGTCTTGTAGGAAGCATCTGCTGTGTAAAAAACGACGCAAACCGTTTAACCACAAGTTACTCCCTATATGATCCACTGATTCAGCGACAAGATGGAGCAGTCTACGGGAGTGGTGGGCCTGGATGCGCAGGGCAATATGCTTTTCACCATGGTGAAGCCAGTCATGGGAATATTTCAGGTGTCCTCAGACCAAACGGTGACCCAGGGAGGGATAAGTCTACAGAGTTTACCTGAAAACACCCTGGTCCTCCCTCCACAACAAGACCAGGTCCCACTGGAGACCACTCAGGTGGAGATGCATGCCATACAGCCTCATCTTCAGCCTCAAATGCAGTTACCTGTCCCGGTACAAACTGAGGAAGCCATCCACAGTCAGGGACTACCACAGAACTCCAATACCACTGCAGAGTTCTCCACACAGATGCCCTTTGCGGAAGTGTCATCACTCCTGGATCCCAACATGAAAGGATCCAAGGCTCGTAAGTATCCACACTCTCGGAATTGAGAGTTTTCGAACAAATTGTAAAGAGCCCTTAGTCACTCACTCCCAATTTCAGGGAAACATCTGATCTCCTACGACGAGATCAAGCGCCGCCTACAGGCTCCGGAGAAGATGTCCCTGCGCTCGTTGGCTGCCTACACGCGAGTCAGCCGAGGTCCAGCTAGCAAGAAGACGCTTCTGGAGTCCCTGAGTGTCCTTGGCCTCGCGCCCAGCACGACAACCTCTGTTTCCTCCTCCTTCTCCAAACTCACTGAAGGTGAAGAGAAAACAGAAAGGGGCTCAAGATCTAAATACTTTGGTAGTTGTTGGGTGGTTTTGGTTAGTTTCTTTAGGACTGCAGCAAGAAAACTATTCTTGTGTCCCTGGAATTGGCTCGGGACATGATTAAGACATGATGAGACATGAATGAAAAAGATCCATCCAGGACATGGAGGAAACACGCCTGATATGTGACCCAGTTGTGTTTCAATGTGTATGTGTTGTCAGGTGACACCAGAGCATTGTGCGACGACATGAAAGATTTCTCACATGATTACATCGATTATGGCAACATGGCGAAACAGCTCATCCCTGACACAAACACCGTCCAACACTGGTCTAAAATTATTGAGACCAAGTACGTACATATTTGCACATACCGGTAGTTTTAAACGGAACAGAAAAGTACTCAAACTCTTTTGTCACCGGGCAGGAATCACCTTGAGGATATGCGGAAATGTTTCAAGGACCCAGCCAACAGCGGAGCCTTCGACAGCGCAACGCACGGCCTTGGTCTGGGAATGCTAGATGTAGCACTGGACATGATCGTCATGGCAATCGAACAGCAGATCCGAATCCTGTCCGGTGCCGCTGCCGCGGAGCCTCCAGAGTCTGGCGCGCCGACGCGGCGCATCGGCCGTCGACAGCGCCGGTGTCACAAGGCGTCCCTCGGCATCAAGGAGCAAGGGAAGGCCATCTCAAAAAGCAAAGGACGAAGCAGAGGGAAGAAGAAGGTGCATCAGGAAAATACAGTCGAAGTGGAGCCTTGTAAGACAGACGACATGCAAGGCAACGTACTAACTCTGGTGTCTGTGGGGTATGAGACCGTTTCCACTGGTCTCGGCGGCTCCAGACCAGCTTGACACGTCACCATGTTTAGTTTGACCAGATTGTGCTCAGGAAGGACCAAAAAGATTCCAGACACGGACATTAATGCGATTTTAAGTAGCAATGGGCAAATGTCTGTTGATGTCAAACAGTAGCCCCTTTCACACTGTCCTTTTTTAACTTTCGGCGTGTGCCATCCTGACGCAAAGCCACTTTTTTTAAACTTGTTTTTTTTTTTTTTTTTTTTTTTTATAAATTGGGGGCTTCGCAGCGACAGTGGGTAAGTATGGGGTATTGGATCTAGCCCGTGCAGTCTGCAGGAAAGGCAAATTACATTACAGCAAAGAATATCTGTAGAATTTTGCTGTTTGTTTACGGTATGTTCAAATCGCTCTGTATTCCATAAAAACCTCAAGAATTGGTAGCAAACCATAAAGAGCTACTTTTAATCACTTTGCTTGATTTTTTTTTGGGTGGGGGGTGAAAAGTGATGCGACCAAGTCAGTGTGCGGCTCCCTCCTCTCACGTTGCCTCAAAGGCTCCAAAGCACCGTGGGAGGTTTTAGGCTGGTCAAAATACCCGCAGCAGCCGAGCCGCTAATACCTGAAGTGTACACGCACAGATGGTGAGAGAGGAGCTTTGAGTGGGGTGAGGATTTGCATTAACAGGACTGAGAGAGCCGGCGCAAATGCCAGATGATTTTCCAGCCTTGACGCCGGGCTGGTAATGCCAAGAGAAAGCAAAGGGATATTGTCGGAATAACAAAAACTCAGGATGGGACATGCCAACATGCCGCTCACATTCAGGTACCAGTGTACCAACAGGGACAAACACAAAACCAGTCGTCTGCAACCCTACACGCCAAACGGTGAGTGTGGTCAATGCTTCTTAACGTTTTGCATTGTAAACAGGACTAATATGAAGGACTCCAAGGAGGTAATTTCACATAAAAGTTGCTCCCCTTTGTTTAGCTTGTGTCTATTCACTAAAGTGACTGGGGTGTTTGCACAGACTATGATCAAGACCTTGTCCTTTACTGCAGCTCTTTTTCTCTTCATGCTTTGTGACCCCCTCCCCACTCCCCCATTTCCTCCCACACCACAGAGAACCTGAACAACGCATTAGGTGCCATCAGGGTGCTGGGTCTCGAGCGGATGGAAGATGAGCTGAAGCCTCACTTGTGCACTGTGCTGGTGAACATTCAGGAGAGGAGTGAGTCTTGACACAAATGTTTGAATTTGAAAGATACTTGCAACATCCTAATCGAAATGGCGCCACCAATGCTCCTCCCTCATCAAGGAGATTGGTCAGTATAAATCACTGGAATGTTACATGGGAAGACGACATAAAAGTATATCCTTGCTTTGTTCAAATAAACAAGAAAACACTTTGGATTGGGGTTTTCAATGTGGCGCCATTGCGTTGATAAGTCGGTCCGCATCTGCCCAGACAGAGGTGCCGCTGAGCAAGTGGTGATCAGCGGCATCCTTCCAGTTCTGGCGTTGTTGCTGAGGGGAAGAGGGCCTCTAGCGCTGCTAACCGTCCAACTGGTGGCTGAACTCGCCAAGGAATGTAAGTCACTGTTCATGAGACTAGCACCAATAGAGTTCAGTACCAAATAGACTGTGCCGAAATCCACATTGAGATGTACCCCTCCCAAATGTCCCGGTGGCATTGGACTGAATCACTTTTATTAACACCTTGCCACCTTTTGTTTCTTGTCTGTCAAGCGGTGATCCGTAAAGGTTTCGGAGACGCCGGCCTGTTTACGGCTCTGCTGTCTGTGCTGACCAGTGCACACCAGGACCTGCTGAGGCATGCAGTCCAGGCCATCACTCGCTTGTCTTATGACAGTTGTGAGTATCAAAACTAAAAAGGACCAAATTGGTTTAAATCACAGAGTTCAGGGTTCACCATCGTGGTGCCTGCGGGCACCAGATAGCCCCCAAGGACAATATCAGTAACCCATTCAATGTTTTACTATTCTCTTGGTATTCAAGAAATGGCTGAAATGTGCATCGCAACTGTGGCTCTCCTTTCTCAAATGCCAGGGCATCACAGAATGTACATGTACTATAAAAACATTAAAATGGTCTATATAAATTGGATATACAGTATTTTCCTATATAGTGGCAACTTCCATGACAAATGGACAGATCTGCGAAATTGCAGTGGCACGAATGATGAATTGCAAAACAGAAGAGGAAAACTGGATCACAGTTCGAAAGTCATTGTGTGTTTTGTGTCTCACTGTCAGGTAAGCATCAGCAGCTGTTACTGCGCAGAGGGGTGGTACCTCGTCTGGTTGCTGTCCTCTTGCGATTCCCCGGCAACGAGGCCTTAGAGGAGTTATGCCTCCGGGCCCTGTGCAACCTCAGCGGCATGAGCATAGTCGAAGATGCCAGCGTGGTGTGGGAGAGGGGCACGTCTGCCCAGCCAGGGGAGTGTATTTTTCGTGGCGTGTCACCACACAAGTGCGGCTTTGTTACTTCGGTGACCGTGGTGCGTGTGTGCCAATGGGCGCCGGCGCAGTACGCCGTCAGTGTGGAGCTTGTCCAACGTTTTTCCACCTCCTTCTTTAACTTACACAGGAGTAAACGGCCCACTCGATGGTTCCCCTTTTTCATCTTTGGGCAATGTTCCAAGATGGCAAACAGGAACAGCCTGAGACGCTCCAGTCTGAAGTCACTGGTCTTCCACACCTTCCTCTGATTGTAACATTCTTGGTGAACTCGGCGCACTTTAACTTTTAGAGACACTTTTTGCTCAAATTGTTTAGTTACTTACTCATAAAGTGGACTCTTTCAACAGTTTACATTGATGTTAAGGCAGCTCACACTCAGTAGTGCCCCAGTCATTTTTTTAATTGTCAATGCTATATTGTTTCAAAAAGCAATGTGTAAAAAAATAATTCTTGCTTGATAAAATAAACAAATTATGTGAGAAAGTGTGGTGGATTTTGTTTAAAAAAAACAGCACACTTCGCAGTCCTAGTCTGGAATTGCAAAATGCATTAAGAATTCAAACTGGACTGTAAATCAGTGGGAGAAAAACCTGTAATTTAATGGGCCATTGGCAGCTTATCTTTTAGATGGGTTCTGTCAGGTAGCCAAAGTTTTATTGGGCTGTATTTACATAGCAAGTTGTAAAAGCTTTTATTCCGAAAATGTAAACCAATTAACTAAATTGGCGACCAAGCTCACTTTACTTCTGGTGTAATTTGTCGTGATAAGCAAAACAAGTTAATAGAGCGCATGCTTTGAGGATGTGTAAAAATCTAGAATACAACCAATTAACATGAACATGCAATTAGTTACGGTATTTCTTATGTTCTGCCAGGTAGGTAAAGGTTTGAGTGGGCTATATGTATAGTTCCGGAAGCTTTTATTTCGAAGACGTAGACGCAACCACTTCCGGGTAAGAGTTAAACTCTTCCGCAGTGCGGTTGTTAGCAAAGCAATTCGAGCTAAATATGCACAAGCTTAACTTACGTGCCAGTAGAAACAGGAACGTTTTTCAATAAGACGACTTTAAAATTCGCTACAGGTTCGATACCAACACACATGAGGTCCATAGTAGCTAGGTTTGTGTGGTCAGTTTGCGGAGACTACCTTGTCCTTCTCCGACAATTTCGCTTACATCATGGTGGTTAAGCCTTAAAGGTAAGGTAACTTAATGTTTGGAAGGCGTTAACTAACGTATTCCGCTCGTTATTAAAAGCCTCAAAACAAAAATAAACTGTGTTTTCAACAGAGTCCGCGGCCCCAATGTCGTGTACGACCAGCGCCGTGGAGTGGGTCGAGTCCACCGGGCAAGTTGTTATCATAGAAGGCTGCTTGCCCGCTGACAGCATCGACACAGCAGGTTCGATACATTTATCATACGTTAAATTTCACAGACTAAATGTTAATAATTGTGTCCACGTCCCATGTTAATTGCATTGAACGCTAGGGTACGCGAAATGAGAAAGAAAGACAGGAACTGAGGGTCAAGTTTTATGATGTAAAAAATAGCTTTAATTCTGGACCCTGATGGTATGAAAGCATGTCACAGGGATGTTCAGACACCCGGGAACAGTTTTAGATTGTCAAAAAAAAGTCGTAGTATGTCTTTTAAACACCATATTGTACCATAGCACTTCTCAACGCAAGTATACTCCGAGTGGCTGTGAGCAGTGTAGAACATACTTAAGAGACACTTAGAACGCGCTACAGTATAATCTTCGACTAATGTGGTTAGATTATTGCAGCTTTTCCATTTACATTCTCTCCCTTTCACCTCTCAGCGATACCACCAATCCAGAAGTTGCTGGTCGGTAATGGAGAGGCAGGAGAAGGTTTTTGTAAGGAAGAACATTTTTAAGCATTGTTGTTCTACCGACTGTCCAAACAGAGACATAAATCCTTTATTTTCTTATCCCCAGGCTGCGACGAATGCCTTGCGCTCTACCAAAACCAGAGCGAAGCCTTCAAGACCGGCGGCCCATCTTTTATCCTCGACTTTCCCACGAGCATGGGCGTCCCCGAGAGGGCGCTCTTGACGTTGCCCTACGGCCTGACGGTGGGCCGCTCCAGTATTCCCGGCGCAGGTGTTGGGGTCATCAATCACGGGCCCGCGCTCGCACCCGGTATGCATTTTGGACCGTTTGAGGGTGAAGAGACGAGTGTGGAGAATGCCATTGAAAGTGACTTTTCCTGGGAGGTAGATGGAGTACTTTTAGCTTTATATAGATAAATGTTTACTCAATGTGTGCCACTTTGAACCATTGTACTGAAGAAATATTCTATTTAATTTGCAGATTTACAAAGGGCAAGATGCTTATGAGTACATTGATGCCTCTGCAGAATCTCTGTCAAATTGGATGAGGTATTGTTTTCATAACCTACTTAAAAACACAAATGTATAAAAAAAATAAATATAAGTTGTAATGTAGCAGTCAAAAATTTTGGGGGAGAAAAACTTCGGGGGGTTTTTTTTTTTGTTTTTTTTTTTCATGAAAAAGTGTTTTTTTTTTTCCTCATAAAATACAACAGAATTGTAATAAGATATGTAATTTTCATTTAAAATAATCAGACTAGTGCCGGGATTGGGAATATTACATTCTGAATAAAATACATTTTCATATGTACGACAGATTGTAGATTACTTATTAATTTATTTTGTCATTTGTGTGATGTGACTTTTTTTCCAGAGTTTCAAATAATCCAAATGTGTGCGTGTTTCTACTCTCAACTTAATTTTCATTTTTATTTTTTTCCATTATTTTTGCTCTCCGGCAGATATGTCAAACGTGCTCGCAGCAGGGATGAGAGCAATTTGCTGGCAGTGCAATACAAAGGCAGCATCCTGTACCACTGCTGCCGCAGTGTCAATGCCGGCGAAGAATTGCTGGTGTGGCCCAGCGGCAAGCTCCTCACACGCTTCAGCGATGCCTGGACGCAAATATGGTTGACCAAGCTTCAGACTGCAGGTGCATTTTATTTTGAATTTAACATAAAGAGATGAGGTATTGTGAAATGTTACAATTATCTTTTTTTTTTAATTATCGTTAATATTTAAATGTTAATTGTAAAATAAACTAACCATTAAATGTACTCTGTTCAAAATTAAATTGAAATTACATATGAAACATAAATATATTTGTTGGAATTTTAAATAACCATTTATGTTTGTCAAGTTCTACATTACAATGTAAGTGTAGATAGAGTCACAATCTGGTATTAATTTTTATTATTAAGAGAAATAGAACGTGGCTGAAGTGGTACCTCCTGGTAACATGTTTTACATTTGCGATTATTATTATATCCATAAAAAATTTAAAAACTACCCACAAAAGTATTTTTTAATGTGAAATTATACCTTAAAAGTATAAAAAAATAAAGGCGAACCATGTTCAAGACTCAGATAGTTTCTGGAACTATATTTTTAATCTTATTGAAATTAAAATCACCAGTAAACTTGCCTTATGTCTTCCTTGTTTTTTTTTTTTTTTTTTTAGCAGAGGGTATGCTGCCTGCGACGTCTCAGGTCTTTGTGTGCGTCCAATGTCAGCTGACCTTCACCACCGAGGCCTTCCTCCAGCGCCACACCGACTGCTTCCACTCAAATCAACAGCTGAAATCCCACCCTGATGAAACCAAGCCAGAAAATCCGACCTCCGATGCCGGAATCTCTGCTCCCGCTCTGACGCTGCTTCCAGACGATGCAGTCATGTTGATAGCCTGCTCCGACTGCGGTAAGACTTTCAAGCAGGCGTCGCACCTGAAGAGACACAAACTGTGTGTGCACAGGAACAGGCGCCCTTACTGCTGCACACTGTGCCGGCGTAGCTTCAGCCAAGCGTCTGGTTTGGTTCGACACCAGGTCGTTCACAGGAAGCCAGGCAGGACAAAAGAGGGAATAAATGCGGCGGAAAATGGCGGCTCCCAAGGAGAGGCTTCGAACAACACATTGGATGTAACGACAAGCGAGCAACTGAGTGATGCAAAGGTTGGGATTGCAGATGAGGTGGGAGAGCAGGAAGTGGAGGAGCAGCCCCACGTTTGCCCCGAGTGCGGCAAAAGTGTCCGTAACAAAGCGCTCCTCAAGAAGCACAAGGCACTGGTGCATGATAAGATTCGCCCGTATGTGTGCAGCCTGTGCAAGCGGTGCTTTGGTCAGTGCAGTGACCTTACCCGCCACCTGCAGCGCCACCGCACGCGGCGCACAGGGCGCTCGAGGGCGCGCCGCGTGTCCGGGGCGCCCGGCGAGATGCCCTTTAGTTGCAGCGAGTGTTCGCTTGCCTTTTCGACTGTGGACCTCCTGCAGCTGCACGTCAGCGGCAGTCACCCGGAGGATATCCGAGAGCAGAATGACCCCGATTCCGTCCCGCAGCCTTCGGAGGCGGCTGTCACGAGGCTTCCCTGTGCGAGGCCACGCCGACACGCCTCCAAATCCAAAATTTCCCCCATCGTCGGTCCCAATCAAACAGCATGTGGCGAAGGCAGTGAGATCCAAGTGAAACCCAAGTTCTTCTCTTGTAACTACTGCAACGAATGCTACGCCGACCCAGAGGAGCTGCGGGCGCACGCGTGCAACCAGCAGCGACACTTGTGCACCCTTTGCGGCAAGAACTTCGGCCAGTCCGTCCTCCTGCGCCGTCACGAGCAGACCGTTCACCAAAGCGAGCCGCCGCACCGTTGCGAGCATTGCGGCAAGGTCTTCGTCGAGTCCGTGGGCCTGCAGCACCATCAGCGCGCAGACAACTGCAGGAAGTACCACTGCACCACCGAGCTTTTCTCCTGCGCCCACTGCCAGTTCTCCTTCACCGCCAAGAGCTTCCTGGCCAAGCACGTTCGCAGGCACCACCCAGCGGAGTACCTGGCTAACAGCCTGGTGTATCAGCCGGAGAAGGAGCAGGACGTCAAGGTGTTCACATGCTCCCGCTGCGAGAAAGGCTACACCAACGCCAAGGCTTTTAAAAGCCACTCGTGCTTTCAACAGGTGAAGGTGCTCTACTTCTGCACCGACTGCGGCAAGGGCTTCGGCAACCACTACACCCTGAAGCAGCACCGGCGCACGCACACGGGCGAGAAGCCCTACGGCTGCCCGCACTGCGCCAAGGGCTTCGCCCACTCAAGCCAGCTCACCGTGCACCTGCGCACGCACACGGGAGAAAAGCCCTACCTGTGCACGCACTGCGGCGAGAGCTTCCGCCAGTCGGGCGACCTGAAGCGGCACGAGCGCAAGCACACGGGCGTGCGGCCCTACAACTGCGAACAATGTTGCAAGAGCTTCAGCCGCCCGCAGAGCCTCAAGGCGCACCACATGCTGCACATGGGACAGCGCATGTTTCCTTGCGACACGTGCGGGAAAAGCTTTTCGAGGAATTATCACCTGCGCAGGCATCACCGGAAAATGCACACCTAACAGAAGACATTTATTTTGACTACGTTCAGCCAGCCGTGGTTTGGCTCTGCTTTTGTTTTGATATTTGTTAAAAATTCAGGTCACTGCATATTCGGAATGGGCAGCATGTTGACCACAGCCACCAATAGCGCTCTTGAGTCTGTCTCCAATGAGTTTGCTGTGATTTTCAACAAGTATGCGGTAAGAGTTCATCAGATCTGCTGCGGCATCCAGGTAATCCAGTTACATTTAATTGGTCTGAAAATTATTTAATTGCTGCAAGTAATGTTTCTTTCATCTATCTGTGTGAGCAGTGTATAGTGACAAGCGGAAAAATGATGCTCTTCTGCTAGATTCGTGTGTACATAATTCATCCGGTTGATGTGCAATGTCATGTGACCTTGTAACATGATGAACCTGACCTCGCCGGCTGTTCAGACAAAAGCTTAATAAATATATCTTTGATTTCTACAGATACTGTATGATATTATAAGTTATATAAAAAAGATCTCAGCGGACACCACCAATTATTTCCCTTCTGCATTCTAGTAGAATTGCATTTCATTCTGCCTGCCGCAGCTAGGTGAACTACATCCTCGCAGACCTCCGCCATCAGGTAACATTGTTCTGTTCAATACATGCTGCTGCACTCGTTTACATTTGAAAAATACCGGTAATTTTCTTGGATCAACCAAATGGCCACCCCGAGTGCATAGTTTTTTTAAAAGTTGAATTAAAAAAAAAACAAGCACTTTGTCCACCACTATTGACCATTTAATCCACAAAACACACAATGCCAAGCATGTGCACTGTACAAGCCTTATTATTATTATTATTATTATTAGGAAAAAATACTCACAACCGTGCCTGTTTTTCTTCATTTTTGTCATCTGGATATATTACTTTTTTTTTTTGTTTCGTTTTTACATAACACACCATTTTCGCTCACATGTCTGTTATAAATACGAAGTTAAAATAGAAGCTGAGCTCTACAAAGATGGTGGTGGCTGCGCGACACATGCGTGCGCCGTTCAATTCGGTGTGTGTCTGTATGTGTGCGTGTGTTTTCTTTCTTCTCCTCGTTGTGTTGCAGCTGCTGGTTCCAGACTGTTAAATGTCCTCTGCTGGCACTGGCATCTCCGGTTAGTAGTCATGAATGAACGGAGTATTCATGAGTCTTACGAGTGTAAAAAGAAGAATAATAAAATAAAATGCACACAACACTTTTAGGCAGCAGGTGGTTGCCACAGTAACAATCAGTCCGGTTTCTGATCCCCTGGCAAAGCACCTCAGTTGTCAATATCACATCAAATTTACAACAACCCTCCTCTATCTTAATTAGAGTTTACATGTGTTAAATGTTTTTGACACGTATTAAAAACTCTTGTTGTTAACCCACACCCATACAGTAGTCACGTCTGTACACGCTGGAAAAAGTCACCAAACTAGAAAAAGGAAGTTGTTTTTGTTTGGCAATTGAGGGGGAGGGGTCGGGGGGCGACAGCGTGACATGTCACAAAAATACCAGATTCAGGGATTAAATACTCTCCAGGTGTGAAAGATGTGTTCAGCATAGAGAGACGAAAGATACCCTGCTGCTCCTTGTTGTGCTCTCCTTGCTCATTCCCAAAGGCTTCTTATAAAGGTTCCGATTTCAGCTCTTCCACGCGGCACTCTAGGTCAGCCACCTGCAACCGAGCATAGAAGAATGCCATCAATTGGTCACGTGCATGCCCAAACAACAGGTGGGGAAATCCCTTGACCAAGCGTGCCGTGCAATTATTTTACTGTTTGGATTATTTCTAGTTATTCCGTATTTCTGTTCTGTGAATTGGAATTGCCATTGCATTGATTGCCAGTGCATTTTTGTTCAGATTAAGTATATTATTGGTAGTACAGTAATGTCTGTTTGGTGTCATTGCCCTTTGAAATCCCCTTTTCAGACCACTAGAGGGCGCAACGGTCGAGCACCCAGTATTACTTTCAGGTTACCTCGTTTATTACATTTTTAGAGCATCCGTAATGTAAAGTACAAGTGTGTGTTGTAATTATTAGTCTTTCAACAATTTAAAAAAAAACAGAACCTCATGAGTGCCAATTTAGGACGTTCTGACTGATCTTTTAAGGACCACAAAATTTCGCGTTGTCGAAACACAAACTACCAAGTATTTTAGTTGATATACAAGCAGACCATGACGCTCGACGTGCACTTTAATCCTAACCCACACCCAATTGGATTACATTTTCTCTTTGTGTACCGTAATCTTTCTGACTAACCTGTTCCTGCAGCTGACCCGACTCCTCTTTGAGGAGCGATGCCTCGGCTCCGACTTGTGCGCATCGCTGCGTCTCCTTCTTCAGGTATTCAATTTCCCTGGAGAACGACCCGAGGATGCATCAGCGTTTACAAAGAAAGAGTAAAGAGTGATCCACATCGGTCTTACTTTTGCTGGTATTCCTTGATGAGCCGCTTGGCCTTGCTGTACTTGCGCTCCAGTGCCTGATACTGCGCCTGCGTCTCCTTCAGGTGCTCGTCCACTGCCTGGCACAAGCTTTGCGCCTCCATCCAGTATCCCTCCAGCTTCTCCATGCGCTCCTTGTTCTCCTGCAGGGTCTGCTCCAGCTGCGCCTTGTCCATGCGCCAGCGTTGCTTATCCTGCTCGGCTTGGTGCAGCTGTGAGGGCAAAAAAAAAAAAAAAAATTCCTTATGAAGAAAAAAAAACAACATTGGAGAGGAACTGAGATGTTTCTGCGGGTGATTCCAGCGTACCTTCCTCTTCAGCTGCTGGATCTCTGCCTGAGTCACGGCATGCTTAATTTGGAGCTGAATGGGAGAACATCAAGTAAGGGGATATACGCTCTCAGCCATTTGAACCGTGTTATGTTGAATACCGTTGTGCAAAGTGGCAGTTTATATGAATAATTAGCCCCTCACTAATTCTATGACCCGTGTGTTTGCATGAGATGCAGCATGCTGTTTTTTTAGGGGCGACAGGATTATTTCTAGTCCTGTTTTTGTGAAAAGTGGCAGCTCTCATAAATTGGCTAGATGGCTTATTGTGTTAAGTATGCGTGTTGTGGACTTTTTGGACGGAATTCTATTGTACATGGTCGCGCTTTTCATGAAGAATTGGCAAGTAGAGAATCAGTCGCATTCGCACTTTGTGTACACACCTCTTTGTACTTATGGGCCAGTTTTTCGGGGTCCGTCTCCAGCGGCGACAGGTCCTCGTTCTCCGCCAAGTCAAACACTTCAATGGCGCCCGTGTACTGCGGACTGACGTCTTCGTCCTCGTCCTCCTCTTCATCTGTGCCGTATTCGCCTCCCTACAGAGAAGAGAGCGGTGAGAACCTCAATGCACATCAAAATGTACTCTTTTCTTAGGTACACCACATGACCAAAAAAAAAATCTATATATCTATTATACACTGATTTACGTTATTTTTTTTATACTAATTGACATTTTACGACAAGTTACTATTGTATACTGAAGTAAAGCTTCTCATCAAAAATACTAAATTTTTCTGTGAAATTTGGGTTGGCCCAGCTGACTGCTGGGCAAAAGTTGGACTGCTCGGCAGTCAATCGCAGGACCAGAGATACGTTATTTGTTGTAAAATAACTAAGTTTTTGAAACAATACAGTGGAAATAATTGAATGTAAATAATCACTGTGTTCATTTGTTCAAAACGAACATGAAAAACAGATGCAATACGGTAGATAGCCAGTAGATGGTGCAAAAGCACCATTTCAATTCGACTTCATTGGCTCACGATATGTTCCACCCTTTTTTGATGCTTTTCAAGAACCACCCTCTCTCGATGAATGGAGTCACTTCCTGTGATTGTCGCCAATGGAAAAGGTCGTTTCCGCGCACGTGCAGCACCGAAGCAACCGTTTGAGAGCTACAAGCTAATCCAAGAATCCATTTTGCAGTCATCATGTTACCATGGCGATGACAAGTGAGGTACATCCGCAGAAGGCTCTTTTCGAACCGTTCGGTGGGGTTGTTTTGCAAAATGAGATGCTTATAGTCTGACCGGCACAATAATAAACACCAGGTACAATTTTTGTTTTGCTGGATGACTTTCATTCGGTTGTGAAGGTGTGCCGAATGTTTTGACCGCTGCGGCCTTAAAAATACACACAAATGCATCTATTCTGAAAGTGGAAGTAATCCTGGCTAAAATATTGATGAGGCAACCCAGCTGAGAAGGCAGGCAGAATTCCGAGTCAGTGGGGGAGGGAAGGCGGGGGGCTGAGAAATATGGATTACTCAGCGTTTCCCCAGCACAGCACGACCGCAACCCTGCCACACATTCCACAATAACAAGCCGTGCACTTTTATTCCACCCCCCCCCCCCCCCCAAAAAAAAATGGACAGACCTCATGCTCTTCCATGTACTGGTTGTAGCGCTGTTCCAGCATCTCGCGTTGCCAGCGTTCCTGCTCCAGCGTCTGCTGGATGAGCTGCGCCACCTCGCTCTGCTCACCTGGCTTCTCACGCCCGATGAAGAACCTGCACAGTACAATAATTAGGTCAATAATAATAATACTCAAAGCTAAAATTGCGTTACAATTGGGAAGGATCTGACAAGCATATTTCCTGACATTGAGAAAAACACGCTCGCAGCTGTCTTCAGGCCTAGACTCATCAAAAATGTCAAATATTGATAAAACAAGAAGTTGTAGCGTCCATTGACGAGTACAGAGATTGGTTCAATTCTCCTGTCCCATTATGATCCACTTCAATTCCACGCGCCTTGTAAATTTTATGTTAAATGTTCTGTCAAGCACTTTGTTACAGCTGCAGCTGTTATGAAGATGTAAAATCGTGAGGATGGGAAATGGCCAACGTGACCCACAAAATTGCTGTGTCTTTTTAAACCTGCCCTTTTTGACACTAGTTTTTTAGGATACCCATGATAGACACGCCTACTAAATTCTCTGTTGGTAAGTCCAACTGAACTGAATTTTCAAACATTTCTTGAGTGTGGGATTTTACGGCAAGTCATCACACTTCGCCACCATGCTTCTGGGAAATGATGAAAACATTTTTTTTTCACAATGTAAGTCACTCGTGTCGAGTATATGTGGTTTAAATTTGGCAGCAGTCCCACAAAACCTCGAGGATGAATTTGTCTTTGAAGAATAGCTGGGAGTAAATTGCCACGTAACCTTAAAATGGCGACTGCAAAGCAAAATGACAGACTTCCTGCGTCTTTTTGGGGCCGGGGGGGTCCGCTGATGATTTTCAAAACATTTCAAGAGGGGGGCACTAGGTTTTGAAGGGGTAAAGCTCTCAATATGTCAACTTATTTGGCCTAAGAAAAACAACAAAGACGAAAAAACAAACACATTTTAATTATGTATCCCCTTTCTCTTTCAGCTCAGTCCATTACAGCGACTACAAAGCAAACAAAAACTCTTTAATTAAAGAGCAGCGTGAAGACAGCGTGAATCGTGAAGCCTTTCAATTTTCGAGTAATTAAATGTGCAAACTTCCTGATGTCTTTCAGCCTGAGCGTGTGTGTGTGGTTTTTTTTTTAAATGATAATCCATAATGCATGAGCTCCCTGTGACAGCCTTTGATCTTCCCAAATCACAGCGAGAGCATCTGAACTCCATTATGACGCATCGCCATTATCTCAAAAGAGCCGCTAATGTGGCGCCGTGTGATGCATTTAAGGCCACGAGATGAAGTTTAAATGCAAAAAAACAAACTGGCACATTGTAGCAAGCATTTGTACTTACTGTCTGCATCCTGTTACTCAATAATATACTGCTTGTTTCTTTCAAAAATACTGTCGATTTGAAGGTGTCATTTGTCGTCTTACTTGACAGTTCCTGACGTGTTCCTTAGGACAGAGGCGGCAAAATTCTGGGTGACCCCCACCAAACTCGTCCCGTCCACCTCCACGATCAGATCGTTGACCTGGATCCTGCACGCAGCACCACAACGAGCGATGTCACCACCTACAAGCACTTCCTGTAGGTATACTTCTGTCCCATAGATTGTACACAGCATCGCTAAGGACGCATTCGAAAGTAGCGTCATTGATTCTTTGATGAGGTGGCACGAAAACACGCACCTGCCGTCGCGATGCGCCGCTCCCCCCTCGGTAACGGTTTTGACGAAGATGCCAAGCTTTTCCAGGCCCATGTCGGCCCCAGCGCCCATCCCGATGATGCTGATGCCCAGGCCGTCCTCGTCTGGGAGTCAAGACAAGCCAACTTCGTTTAAAGGTATGCTGCTAAGTGACTTAAAATTTATGTCAGATCTGAGTCAAATCTATCTGATTATTTTGAGGGATTTTTTTTTTTTTTACTCACACTAAAACCAACCATACATAAATATATATTATTATTATGATACCTGGTAGCAATTTGTAATCTTACACAAATAGAGTTAAATAAAGATGTATGAGACTAAAGTTGTATTTTAAGGCAAATCGGCCAAATGAGATTAAATTTTTGAAATAAAAAAAATAAAATAAAAGCAGCAATCCTGCAAGAAATATGTTTAGAGAGAAATAATGAGAATCTTACGACGAGTAATATATTTTTGCTAAAGGTAAAAGGCTTCCATCAGTCTTGTTTTTGAGTGAAATTTCAAAGGATGGAAAGATTATCATCATTTTTATAGGAGAAAATTAAACAATTTTACGAGCATAGTTCTATATTTTCTTTTTGACAAAGTCTTAATCGTACGACTATTGTCATATTTTTGAAAGAAGGAAAAAAGTGCGATACCTGTAAAACATGAAGTTAAATATTAAAAACAGCAAAAACAAATTGTGATCAAGTTGCCCTTTTGGAAAGAGTTGGTGTAATCCTATGAAAATAGTTGTACAGACATTAAAAGAAGACACTCATATAAAAAAAAAAATCTCGCTGTTGAGAAAATAAATTTCAACAAAAATAGGTGTCGACTTTTTTTTTTTTAAAGTATTAATAGTCCATGAAAAAAAAATAACATTATTGAAAACTATTTTGCTTTTTACCTTGAAAAATGACTTCACTCTTGGTGGTGAGAGACATTAAAAGAAGACACTCATATAAAAAAAAAAATCTCGCTGTTGAGAAAATAAATTTCAACAAAAATAGGTGTCGACTTTTTTTTTTTAAAGTATTAATAGTCCATGAAAAAAAAATAACATTATTGAAAACTATTTTGCTTTTTACCTTGAAAAATGACTTCACTCTTGGTGGTGAGAGGAAGAGATATGAACCAAAAGCTTTTCAGTCACACATAGCAATCATATATGCTGAACCATGTTTGCGCTTATAAATATAGTCTCTTATAAATATATGTATAGCTCTTCATGTTAAAAGCGATGTTGGAGGTCAGGCTCCTAGAGGAAGGGCGCAGGTTAAGGCTTTGCCGGTAAAATGCTTGGCTGCACGAGGAGGCCACAATATTGGGAACGGCTCGCGGCGCGGTGATATGTGTCTCGCATTGGCGCTGACGGCTCACCTTTCTCCAGCTCCACGGGGAACAGATCCAGCCGCTCCACCCTCTTCTCCAGCTCATACTCGGCGGATGCCGCCATCGGGTCCACGTCTTCGTTGCGCCTGTCGTAGTCCTCGTTGGGGTAGGTGGCGAACACCTGCACCACACACACAAACATGCTGCACTTTAGATTCAATTTAGACCGCTCGAGCTTGAATCACGAACCCCTCTCAGGTTGCATGTCAAGCTTTTTGCCCATCACTGATGTTCTGTTTAAATGGTACCAACCCAGAATACGGGATAGGGAGGAGGTTTAAAGGTACAAGGTACAAACGAGTGGTAGGGGCTGCGGATTCATCAAAATTAGTGACACATTCTAGTTTATTTGTCAGGGTAATTTTTTTTTCTTTGCGCCTTCCTTACTTCAAAATGTGTCTTCTCTGATGTGCACTGCTTACACTCTAACAACATCGTTGCAAAAGAGAAGTGCAAGTTTACAAAAGCACACTCGATTTGGTTGTTGTATTTAGGGAATTTTTCTGGCCGCTCTCTATTATTTTTTTTTTTTTTTAATGTGAGAAGCTACTGTTAGTTGAATTCCTAAAACAGACAAAAGTGGCATCATTTTGACACAGGTTTGACAAAAAAGGCACACGGTGGAATGGAATCGCAGTTTATCGCACATATGATGCATATTTAGATCCTGTTAATGTGTGGAAAAAGTAAACAAGCAATGCAAGAAAGGTCAAAAACTTCACACCCTTGTCATTTTAAAAGTGAATATGTTGGTCAGGTGAGGTCTAAAGCTGCTTCAAAAACACACAGAGGAGGCCACGACTTCTTTTTAACAGTGTGGTCGTTTACGTAAACATCTCCAGCATACTAATGGAGGCCTCCCGCAGCTGCGCACACACACACACACACACACACACACACACACTCACTCTCTGGAGGTGATTATGCCTGCAGCACTTTGCATGGTCGAGTCACACCGACTCAAGCGCTCGCGATTGGAGGGAATCTCGTTTTTTTTCCCCTTAACAAACATTTTCTTCTTCTCACTGCGGAGACATTTTCACACTTTAGTGTTCACTTTGTTTGCGCATCTCCCTCTCATGTTTTGAAGTCGCGTCTATCTGAGTTGCATAGCTTTTCTTCTTCTCCATAGCAACGCTTGCAAACTCGTCAGATTTGACAGCAGCCCCCACCCGTCCGTGGCCCTCTCCTTTCAGAGATTTACAGTATGATTGCATTTGCATGCATCGCTGAACACTCAACAAGGCTTTGCTTCTTCATTTAAATCTCCCCTTAACCCCAAGAAAAGCCTCTGAGGGGGCTCGGCGAGGTGTGTATTTCTCAATACTTCCTACGGTGCCCTAAATCGACACTTGATGTGTGCAGAAACACGTGTGGCATGATGTAGATTAGAAATGAAATAATGATATAAATAATTTTTTTTAAATTATAATCCAGGACTGCCAAGCAAACTACAATGAAAATCTCAGACATCAATCTATCCATCATGGCCTCAAGAGAATCACGTGAGTAGGAGCCTACAGTATCTCCAATGACTCTCAGAGGCGGGGGAAAACAGTAAATCGAATTGTCACAATACTCCTGATAAACGTGCGTGGAAGATAACTTTGTCAGCAACCAAAAAATTCAAGTTTAAAAAAAATAAAAGAAAATCTGCTAATTTAGTGGCCACACGTGCGACTGGATGAAAAATTGACTTGCATTGTCTCACATTTTAGGAGCAAAACGCCACCATTTAGGGCCAGTCTATAATATTTAATTGACTAAAAATTTTAGCCCAAGTGAAGCCACAATGGATAGACACGCACTGAGATTTTTGATTTAGGTTACCTTTGTATTTAGCGGGATTAGACGCATGTGGATTACCCACGCACACACACTATACTGTGCATCAATAACATTCATCCACTCAGTGACCTTGTGGCTGGAGGCGGCCTGATTCAAGATGATACTTGTGCGCTAATGGTTTTGCACGGTGGCGTTCTATGCATCTGACATACATCGTCACACTTTCACCTCAGCCTGCAGACATGTTGTTGTGCGTAGAAGACAAACAGTGGGATTAGAGGCGGGCTGATGCTGCTGATAAAGGGCGGGGGATGCGTGTGCCAAAGAAGGGCGCCGTTCCAGTTGTGACAGATAGTAGGTCAGAGGAGCCAACAGATGGCCGGGAAACTCCCTCCACCCCCCCCCCCCCTCCCTCTGCGGCATGGGATGTCCTAGAAATGCAGCTAGCCACAGACGCCAACCAGCTGAGTGTGTGTATGTGTTACTAAGGACCGTTAATGGCATGCAAACGACAACCAACAATTGAATTGATATGACAAAAGGGCGCCGAAATGGGTCTGAAGGCCTCCAACCCCCGCTCGTCGCAACATCGACTCATGCATCGTCGCTACCATGATACACTGACCCCTTTGAGCTACTTACTGTGGTTAGTAGTGAGCTTTTTTTTCTAGTTGACCAATGACATCAGAAAATCCAGGCGGGGGGCACCCTGACCCGGTTGCCAGCCAATCGCAAATGGAGGCGCAACACATGTAGACAAATAATAAAGCGGCATACACTGGCATGTAGTATTCATCCGCTCTTCCGGAGGACTGTTTTGATGTATTACATTCATGTATATCCGTCTGCCTCTTCTGAATGTTATTTATTTTTGGGGGGTTGGGCTTTAGACTCTGAAATTCTGTAGCCATCAGCTCATGACCAGCCAACTGCTTAAAAAAGTTTTTACAAAAAAAAAAAAAAGAGACTTTTGACCGACTTTGTCAGATTGCGTGTTGACTTGATTCTTCAACGTCCGAATCTGATCATTTTCTCATATCATTTTCGTGAGTGTGCTAGTGAAACTGGGGAGTCACTTCCTCTACAACCTTCTCTGCCCACAGAAATTGATGCGCTCGCTTCCTTGTGGACTCACCAAATAACGTCTATATTTGGATCGAGCCAACGGGTGCTCGGCATCAGAAATAGATGCAACTTGCTCTCTGATCGCTCCGTCATTGTCAAACTCTGACAGGTGAATTTGCCGTCAATGAGGACGAATGAAAACACCAATTAGATGGTTTTTCGTTGCACTTGTCTGGAAGAAGTTAATCACTTCACAATCCAAGCATGTCGGGCATCGTCGCCAAAGCAGTCTAGAATCTGGGCTTAATTCACAGCCCAGATGTAGAACACGCAGATAAAATAATGGTCAACTGCACGGCATCCGTGTTCATCTGCTTTGGCAGGCCAGTCGCTGGTCAGCGGGCGTTTGGCGGCTTATAGCGATGACCTCGTGAGAGGGATGTGGCAGCAGAATAACAAGGTCACCCACAGAGGCCGGAATTATGCCGCCATCCTGATGGCGTGGCACTCAGACAACGGCTAATATGTATGTAGCCTTTTTTTCATGCAGATCTTAAGTATTTGTTGAACTTGACAAACAGAGGGGGGGAAAAAATAATCTAAATAAATGAATAACTGATTTCGCAGGAGCTAATATCAACCGATTCAATAGGCCAGGCCCTACTTTTGACCTTGACATGGGCTTCAAAGTCATTCATATTTCTCTGAGGTTGCCTTGCCTCAACTGTTCAACGATACAAGAGAAAAGACCAAAGCAGTAGAACCGACATTTATCAGCCTGTGTGTTTCACACGGAACCCAACGAAGTGGGATCTTGCCTTGTCGAGTTTGTCGCAATCAAAACAACAACGGTGCACCTGAGCCCTGTTGATTTTGCACTTTGCCGTCCCGACTTCCTACTTTATATTTATAATACATCACGTTTCACATTTTTATTTCACTCAATTGGTACTCATGCGTGACACGCCCTTGACTGCCCATCCTGTACATAATCCAGTGGTTCTGCAGATTAGCAATAACAACCATCGTTTTGCCGATGTTGTCATGTGGACGTGAAACTTGACAAAATTGCAAATAGTAAATTGGGGTCAGCATATCCCAAGTAGCCCCTTTGACAGTTTCAGTCCATTTGGTGTGTCGTGGATGTAGCAATCGAATTTTCATTTCACACTGAACCCACTGAAATGCGACGTTTAACGCGCAGGCGTTTGCTTAGCTAACAGCTTCCCGCTAGCACAACTTCACAGCTTTGACAATCGGTGTGAAAGGGGCGAACAAGTAATAGCTGAATGTTGACCACAACATTTACAGAGCACGCTTCTTTTATGTTTGAAATATTCCAACACATTTGATCTCCGTCCCGTCGTCATCATTCGAAACACACTCGCGTTTAAGTTTGTTTTGGCTGAGCAACATTGAACAGGTGGCATGTCTATTTTTTTTTTTTTTTTTTTTTGCATTAGTGCTGGTGGGTGCACAGCAGAGGCAAGAGGTAACAGATCCTTTGAGGTCGAGGACTTTTCACATAGATAAACAGCAAGGTCACTCTGCCCCTCTCTTTTCTTTCAGTCCCGCAGTGATGCGTCGGCGGAATGTGTGTGTGTGTGAGAGCCCACTCATTCGGGTGTCTGCCATCAGCCAACTTATGTAACAACTCTTTTTTTTTTTTTTTTGGTTGTTGTTGTTTTTTTGTTGTTTGTTTTTAATTTGGCTTAATAGTGTGGTAGGCAGCATGTCGGGTCTCGCAGTGCAGAAGCCCCACGGTTTGATTCCGGGATCCAGGCCTTCCTGTGTGGAGTTGGCATGTTCAAATGCAGTGGTCTGATCTTGATGTTTTGATTGTAACATACACTCTTAAGTTCTAGGCTCTAAAATGTTGTTGAGTATGTAACCATTTATCCAAAACGATACCTTTTTTGATCAGTTTTCAATGAATTGATTGTTTATACCAACGATGGGCCATAGAAATGGCATACATATCAGTAAGAATTAGGGAAAAAAAAAACTAGAATATACTTTGACGTAATGTTACATTTGTTTTTGTTTTTTTGCGCAATGACATGGCTTCGGTGGTCAAGACAGTGCCAGGCCAAATCCACCACAAAACAGTGTCATCATCCAGCGAGGAGTCAACATTAAGCCAAAGCAAACGAGCCGAACGAGACGTTAGTGGCGGCGTTTCTATTTTTATAAACGGCAACAACAACGGCAGACTGATGACAGCGAACAAGCAAAAAGAATAAGCACACAGAGATGGCGAGCAAGAGAATCGAGTATGAACCTGAACATACTACCCCCTTCCCACCTCATAATTTTCTTTTTTTTTCCCCCCTCTCCAACTCATAAGCAACTAACTGCCATCACAGCAAAAAGCCCCAATTGTGGCTGCTAACGACAGGAAGTGGGCGCTAAAAATGGGTATTTCCTGTTTGGCAAGAGACAGAGAAGTGACTTTGCAACGCTAACGCGGACACGTGACATTTGAGTGGCCTAATGGCCTCCCCTCTTTGTTCCCCTCTACCCCAACCCCTTGACCCTGATGCTCCTTGACAGGCTCACCCCCCCTCCCCCCCACCCACACTACATCAATCTCCATTACAAAGGTCTCTGTGAGGTACAGCGTGAAGAAAGAGAAGCGCTTCCCATCATCAAAAGACATTTCGGGGTCAACACTGACATGTCAATCATATGTAGCGGCTCACTACACTCACCACATTATTAGGTACACATGCACAATGACAATGAAAACATGCAAAGTGTCAACAGCGTAAGCCGTTTACTACAGTATACTATATTAGTAAAATAGTCTTTATCTCGAGATAAATGCATGCCGCTTCGCCGGGTAGAGGGGGTGCTATCACGTGTGACGTCCACCATATGAACCCCAAGGTCACAGCAAGATAACGGCCTAGCTCAAGTCGCCTATCTAATCATATAAGAGTCCTAATCTTACAATCCCCCCTGTGTGAGTGACCTTTAGGGTCACTCAACTAAAACTCGAGCTTTTGAAAAAAAATATGTTTCTCCCTCTGTTCAGTTAAGACCGTGAAGTTAGACACTGTCAGATGGGCCAGGCAGTCCCCCCCCCCCCCCCCCCCCCCCCCCCCCCCCCCGCC